CCCAGTGGTTAAATGGATCCCGCATTATTTACTCTAAGTGTTTAACCTGACCAAATCTACCATTCCATCATTATCGATAAATTTAGGACCAAAAAAATGATAAAATTAGTTAACATAGATAGAATATATGAAAGTTTACTTAGTTCAAGGCCCTGTGCTTTCTCATACACACTTTTTTTTTGTTCTGTGTTTTGAAATTCTTTGAGAGCTGAGGATTATTCCATCTCACAGGTTAGAAAACTAATGCTCAGAGACATTAAGCCTGAGTTCTGGAGCATGGATCAGCAGGACATTAGGACCATGTTCTTAGTGACTGTATCAAATTACCTCCGTTTTTGTTTTTACCATGTTCAAGTCTTAGTTTCTGCAGAACTCATACTTTACTGCAAAGAGAGAGTTCAAAGTTGAATTTTTTAATAGGTGGAGACAAAATAGCGCATTCTCCTCTACCTCACTCTAGCCAAGATCTAGCCAAATATCTCTTTTTCTGAATAACTGACTCTTTAAGTCAGCTTATCTGTCTCTAATTATCCCTTCTGCTAGTTCTTCTGCCATGTTGCACGGATTATACCGTTTGGACTACATTAGTTTTTTTATATCTTGCTTCTTCCATTAGAGTATACATTTGTTTGTCTCATAAATATTAATGAAGAAACAAGCACATACTACAATTGTTTGTAGAGATAGTGTTAGAGAAAAATAACTTTAATTTACTCTTTTCAAATGTTAGTTTGCATCTGAATGAAATGTGCAATCCAGACAGTATAACATCACTTGTTAAACAGCACATCCCTGATGCCAAATTAACAGCACAAAGTGAAGAAAAGCTTGTATATATTTTGCCTTTGGAAAGGACAAACAAATTTCCAGGTAACAGAATGCAGAGACCACAGAATGATTTATAATGGAGTTACTAACAGTAACAGTGGTGCTAACAATGATGACTAACATTTTAATGCCTATTAAGTGCATGGCACTGTGCATTAATTCATTTAATATTCCCCACCCTAAGGTCACTTCTAATATTAGCCTCTGATAACATCCCCACATCACTTATGACTGAACTGAGGCACAAAGACGTTGAATACGCCTCAAGCTGCAACATGTGCAATTAAGAGGTACGGGATAGCGTCAAGCTAAAATTGGGAATATTTGGGAAATACGTTTCAGGAATGAATGAAAGAGTGCAGTCTGAGCAGGAAGAGATCTGGGAAAGCCTCGCAGAGTATTGAAGGCGAGTAAGGGAATGGTACACAATATGTAGATTGCTTTATAAAGACCATGACATGATGTTATAATCTAAGTAGTCAAATAGTAATTATGATTAATCTTCGTGTTGCCAAACGTTCTAAGATTCATGACTTTGCTGCAGATACAAAAGCCTGGAGGACCATTGTCTTTACCACTTTTGTATCTGGTCTCCCAATGTGCTGTTTCATTTCCCAAGAGTTTTGAGGCAGATTACATTTTTTTTTTAAATGTAACCCATCAAATTGTGTTTGCTTTATCGCGTTCAAGGAACTTGCCAACTTTTAATGGAGGATACTGGGTCCATCGCTGCATGCGTGAATCAATAAGCCTGCCAGAATCATGGTTAATGAAGAAATACAGCACCAGGCAATAGGGTGCAGTGATTGAAAGATCCAGTGCTAGAGCCAGACTGGCCCGTTTCCAATCCCAGCGATGTTGTTATTAGTTCTGTAATCCCAGACAGGTTATGTTACTTTTCTGTGCCTCAGTTTCCTCATTTGTAAAAAGGGGATCATAATAGTACTAACTTTATAGGGTTTTTATGAGGAGTAAATGATTTAATATATTTACATTTATTATTAAAATATTAAATATAAATAGAGCACCTGGAATAATACCTGACATGTAGTACCTATAGTATTTCACCAAGTCTAAGATACACTCTACTACAGGATGTGCTACCAAGAAACAGAAAGAAATCATGTTGACATTTAAAATATGACCTACCTGCATTTATAATACATGCTCATTTCAAATACATTAAAAGATGATGAAACGTATTCATCTTAAAATCAGTGAAATAATGGTAGTCTTAGATGCATACACAATGTCTTGGATATAAGTATCACTTATGAAAACAGAAGTCCTTATGAGGTCCTCAAAACCAAGTGTTACCTGATTGCTTATTAAATGCATTTCAAAGGGGGATGCACAATTTAGAGAAAGACTGAAAAAGAACCAACATTTAGATGGACTTAAGGACTCATTAGAAATCATGAATACATCTCTATTTTTCTTTATCTAACATACCATTAAGATAGAAACATTTAATTTCTCCCAATATTTGAATTATTCTTTATTCTACTTTCAAATTTCCTGAACTGTCCAAGGATCATTTCCAATATCTTTTATTAAAAAAAGCAATCTCTCAAAATGACCCACTAATCCCTCATGAAGACCTACCCTCTTTCAAGGCTTTTATGTAATTTTCATACCATGGGCAGAAGCTGGAAGAGGAGAGAGGGGGAGAAAACGAAAAGTTACTTTGTCCTTTCCTTTAACGTATACATATATATATATATTTTTTTTTTATAATTTTATTTATTTTCCCCCCAAAGCCTCAGTAGACAGCTGTATGTCATAGTTGCACATCCTTCTAGTTGCTGTATGTGGGACGCGGCCTCAGCATGGCCGGAGAAGCGGTGCGTTGGTGCGCGCCTGGGATCCGAACCTGGGCCGCCAGCAGTGGAGCGCCCGCACTTAACCGCTAAGCCACGGGGCCGGCCCTAACGTATATATTTTTAAACAAAGGAAAATTCTGCAGCACCTAATTATTTCTATAAACATTAGTTCTTTTTCATTTGTTATTACGTTGCCTAACAATTATCCCTAACATGAAATCACAAATCTCTATTGTCTGGAAAATATTCCTTAATTAATGTAGGTTTAGAATTAATCATTTCCTATCTTAGTTTGGGCTGCTATAACAGATACCATAGACCGGGTGGCTTACAAACAACAGATATTTATTTCTCATAGTTCAAGATCAGGGTGTCAGCACGGTTGGGTTCTGGTGAGAGACCTCTTCAGGGTTCCAGACTGCTGACTCCTTGTATCCTCACATGGCGGAAAGCAGAGAGAGGAAGCAAGCTTTCTTGTGACTCTTAGAAAGGCATTAATCGCATTCACGAGGGCTCTACTCTCATGGCTTCATCTAATCCTAATCACCTCCCAAAGGCCTCACCTCCTACTACCATCACATTGGGGGATAGAGTTTCAACATATGAATTTTGGGGGGGAGCACAAGCCTTCAGTCCACTAACACTCCCTATAGTCTAATAGAACTAAATTTTTTAAAACAGTAAATATAATAATTTTTTTCAAAACCCCCCATATAGCAGTTTTCTAAGAATGAAAAAGTAAATGTTTAGAATTTTATACTCAAGAAGTCATGGAAACTAACACACTATATAGACTATTTTAGAAATAGGGAAATGTCTATATCATAGTTTTGTTTCTGATTAATGCATTTGGCCTATCACAAATGTTTTCTATTTTTAAAGAATATGATTATTATCAATCTCATTATAAACTATAGTTTTTGATGCATTTTTGTGCTTACTTTTAGACCTTTATAGGGATCTCGATAGATGTTCTAACCAGGGCATTGAGAATTATGGTGTTTCTATGACAACTTTGAATGAAGTGTTCTTGAAGTTAGAAGGAAAATCAGCTATTGATGAATCAGGTAAAAAAAAACTTGAATTTTGTCTTTCTGTGCAATATTTTATCTTGAAAATATACTCTGAATGATGAATTTATATGCTTTTGGAGGTGCTATGATTCAGTCTGGTCTTGGGAAAACTTAGAGCAGAGAAGAAATGTATTTCTGTCTCCTTCTTTCCTCTTCTCTCAATGCTGGTCTCCAACCGTGAATTTCTGATCTTGTACCATGCGTCTTACTAAGCACAGGGAATACAGCAGTGTGCAAGACTAGGTCCTCATGGAGCAGACAGCAAATATGTAATGTAAGTGCTGTAGAGAAAAGAAAATTAGAATTGTAGATTGATACTTACTTGTAGTATTTTGAGGCTGTTATTCCATTGTCTTCAGGATTCCATTGTTGCTGTTGAAAAATTTTCTGTCAGTCTAATTGTCATTCCTTGGAAAATATTCTGCCTTCTCTCTCTAATTTCTAGTTAATTATTTTCTTGTTTCTGGTTTACTCTTGACTACGCTTTTTCATTTTTTTTCTGATTGATCAAGTATTTTTTAAATCTCTGTTTGATCCACTTTTGAAGTTATGAACTTGATATCTTCTTAGTGGTTACACTTAACTTTTAATGTACACGTCTTATAGCTTTCTAAAAATCTAAAGTTGATCAGTTTCTCTAGGCTCCTCTTCCAAAAGAAGTAACTTTTACCTTGTTTTCACCCAGGGCTATATTAAAAAATATTGTCTCTACCAATTTCCGATTCTTATGGAGGTGAGAGGTGGGTCTATATGTACTAACTCTTCCAATTTGGTCAGAAATATTAAGACTATTTATCTCTTGCAATGAATAGATTTTTTCTAGGCTAAAATAAGGGTTTCTTTTCATTGGTTTCTGCAGAATGAATTAAGTCCTTTAAAGCTGCAGACACAGAACTATTTTTCAGAAAATACAAGATTTTCTTTTATTATATCACTTTTGTCTTCTTGCATTATATCATTTCTTTTGCTTCCTTTCCCATTTCTTCAGTTGTTTCTCTAGTAGTGCCATGAAATAGATTAGCTCTATCTTTTGTTCAAGACTCTCTACTCTGATGCCATTTTGTGAAAAGATGATCACAGCAATATCTAAATAATGCACATCTAAAATGGCACTTTATAAATCACTGATTTTATGTTTCATAGACATTGGAATTTGGGGACATTTACAAAGTGATAGAAACAGAGACACAGAAAGCCTTGTTGAGCTGGAACAAGTGTTGTCTTCCTTTAAGGAAACAAAGAAAGCAGCCAGCGGCCTGGCTCTCTGGAGGCAGCAGCTATGTGCCATAGCAAAAGTTCGCTTCCTCAAGTTAAAGAATGAAAAAAAAACTCTGTTGACCATGTGAGTACCCAAGTGTTTCAGGTATGTTTGGTCAGTGCATTCAAAAGAGAAAAAAAACTTCAGATAGAATGAATTCCAGCAACTGCATATGGTCTTATTAACATAGAAACCAATTTTTAATTGCTTAGGTGGGTATGTATTTAAACCAAAGAAAGTTTGGGATTTTTTTCTTTTAATTTCATACAGAATCTGCTCTTATCAAAGGGTTGAAGTAGTTTTTCAGAAGCATGGAAGTTAGCACTGAGGTCCCATCCGAAACACTTGCCTCTTTCCCCAAAGTAGCTCTGTGCCAGGGCTTATCTTAGCCTAGGCTTCATGTTACTATCTGGAACCTACTATGTGGTTCACACATTCCTCTATAGCTTCAGACTCTTCATTGAGTAATACTACCTGCACTCCACTCAGGACACTCATTCATTCAAAAATATTTGTGAGAACCTCTGCATAACACTCTGTTTTAAATGTCTGTAAGACATCAAAATCAATCAAACATGAGATTCAGCTCTTGGTGATTAGAGGTATACTGAAAAAGCATAGTACAAAATTAGGGCAATTTTGTCAAGTGTAACATTCACTATGAGACAGATTGTTTCCAAATAGAGAAATCCGAAAAAAGAATTTTACATGAGAGAGAATTTGAATTTGGTGTAGGAAAATGAAACATTTAGCTAAGGAAAGAGAAGAGAATGGAAATTCAGACAGAGGGGGCAGTCCTGAGCATAGAGATACATGGGGAGTCTGAAGAACTGTTATTAATTTAATGGCAGCATAGAGTGTTCAAAAGAGTAAAAATAATTTTGATAATATATTATATGGAGCTAAAGAGTTTGGACTTTATGAATAATAAGGAACTATTAAGCTTTTATTTTTTATTTTGAACAGGCTATTGATATAACTAGAACAGAATGCTAAGAAACTTAATGGGGCAACAGTGCAAAATGGTTTGGAAACAGCAGACTTTGGAGACAAGGAAAACAATCATTTAGGACAATATTGAAAGAGGTCAGGAAAGAAAAAATTAAGGTCTAAACTTGAAATGTGGAAGAGAGAAGAAGATTTGGAGGCAAGCAACGATGATATGAGCTATAGAATTTTTCAACCATTTGGAAAAGGGACTTAAGAGAGAGAAATGAGTGTAAAATGACTGAGCCTTGGAGCCCAAGTGAATGAGAAAGTGTCGTAATTTATAGAAATTGGGAGCAGGAGGGAGAAAATGTTCAGAGTGTAGTAAGCCAGGGAGTTGGTGACATGCCAGCTTGCAGTAGTCCAGTAGAAGGAATAAATGCAAGACTGAGACAGAGCAAAGAAGTGGGCACTGGAGAGAGAGATTTAAGAGTCATAATCAGCAGACTTTATAAGCTTGAATGAGACGTCCAAAGGTTGAGGGGGAGGGGCATTTAGAGAGAGAGAGAGAGAAATCAAGGATAACTACACAGGAACAATCTCATTTTAGAAAGAAGAAAAAGGGGAGAAAAAGCATGATTCATATGTTTGGTTAGTGCTTATAATTTATTTCTGTTATAACATCCATTATCTGCTCAAACTTAACCGACGAAAGTTGCTATAGATGATTTTTTTTCTTTTACTTTTTCCTCCATGTAGATTATTGCTTTTTGGCATTAGCCTTTGCCCTCAGATTTTGGAACATCTATTTTATGAGTTATATCAAAAAAGTTATTCTTGGGGACTGTCTCCTAATATGTACTTCCTCTCACCGGGACAACCACCTCAGGCTCCTCTGACCCACCTACTGGTCATCAACAAAACAGGTGAACGTGGGGCTACAGAGCAACTTTCACCTGCCGGTTCTTGTTGAGAGATTCCACAGACAACACAAACCACAAAGGAAAGATATTCTGTATGTTTTAGAAAGCACATATGAGGCCAAATAGGAAATTAATTTCAAAATGAAAAATACAAGGTTGGAGAGTTTGTTTTAGAAACACATTATTGCAAGTTTACTTAAACCATAGAGCTTACTGCACAAAGCAACACAAGGGGATTCAGGAAGGTGGATCATTGACTGATCTTTGAGGTTTTTCCATAACTTTTTTTTTGTTTGGTGAGGAAGATTGGCTCTGAGATAACATCTGTTGCCAATCTTCCTCTTTTTGCTTGAGGAAGATGATCCCTGAGCTCACATCCATGCCAGTCTTCCTCTACCAGTCTTCCTCTACTTTGTATGTGGGACGGCGCCGCAGCACGGCTTGATGAGTGGTGTGTAGGTCTGTGCCTGTGATCCGAACCCACGAACTCCAGGCCACCAAAGCGGAGCAAGTGAACTTAACCACTATGCCATCAAGCCAGCCCCCATAACATTTTTTTAAGTACTATGCATTCTTGATGTCTGGAAAAAAAATCTGTTCCAAATTTCTAAGAAAATAGAAGATTAAGATCTTCAAGGATTATAATGTTAATTTTAAATAGTATTTTTATACTAAGAGAAATTATAAGTAAATGTCTAGGCTCTAGGTAAAGAAACTTTGTCATATCCTTGATATTAGAATGGATTTTAGTACCACAGCATCAATTCTGCTTTTTAAGGAAATCCTTAGATAGTTCTTATTATGGTATGCTTTGAGTGACATCATTTATTTTTTTCTAAAATATTGCTTGACTATTGTTTTTCTTCACTGTTGCTTCTTTTGATCTTTACCTTCATGGTAGGGTCAAGCATTGATGACTTTATACATTCACTGAAGCAGCAGAACATAGCTTTGCAAGTGGATGCCTTTGGAACTAGAAATGGCCCGAATGAGCCATCATACAATGGCGCAATCACTGTGTCAGGTGATAACAAGGTATGTTGGGCTCTGATTGCTGCATCTCACCAAAGATGGACTATGAGTGTGCAATTTGAGTAATACATATCAACTGGCATAAAAGACCAATTTGACGCAAACAAATGGGATATTTCTCATTTTTAGAGAAGCTGGACTATAATTATTTGCCGACAGCCTCCATTAAAACAATATATAATGAAATGCCATTTGATTTTATTCCTTGTTAAATTGTATGCACTGTTATAATTAATAATGCATTTAAATCTTATTATAAATTGTATTTCATTCCAATAATTAATTTAAATCTTATTCTTAATTGAATTTCAACTCAAATGACATTTTGATGAATCCTCCAAACATAAATCTGATTAATGTATATTGTGAACTTCAACTCCAGTTACAAAAAAAATATTAGCTCTTAATTTTTTCACGGTAGATTTTTGTGTGTTTTTAATGGGAAAAAAGCTCAAGTCCTACTAGCTAAACTTTACACAAGTGGGTCAAACCTTCAGATAAATGTTTATGCTCAGCTATCTGATGTTTAAAAAAAATGCCTTAGTTTTCTGCAACTCAAAGGGTGGTTCCTGAATCAACATTACTGGATCACCTGGGTGCTTGTTAGAAATGCAGAATCTCAGGCCCCTCCCCAGACCTACTGAGTTAGAATCTGCACTTTAATAAGATCTGCAGGGGATTAGTCTGCTCATTAAAGCTTTAGAATTGCCTTATTTGGCAATTTTAAGATTGGCATATTTCACATAAAATTGTAGATTTCTGGCTTCTCTTGAAAAATCCCTCCATTCACCCATTCTGGCAGTCTGCAGTTGGAACTGAGAAACCGTTGCCCCATGTAGCCTTGGACTTTTCTTTCAGCTTGCCATATCTCCACACTGCTTCACTCATGTATATTACCTGCCTAGACCCTGTAGGAGTTTATAACAGACAAGTGGAGAAGATGGGAAGAGTGTTACATGTATAAATCACAACAGTTAAGTGTCACAAAGCTTGACCACTGGTAGCTTGTCTGAGCTAATTTTCAGAAGTAATTTCCATGCCAAAAATAGAGTAAGAAATTACCTATGATAAGTAAGAAATTAGTCCTTGATATGTCTTTTTTTTTTTTTTTTTTTGTGAGGAGGATCAGCCCTGAGCTAACATCTGCCAATCCTCCTCTTTTAGCTGAGGAAGACTGGCCCTGGGCTACCATCCGTGCCCATCTTCCTCCACTTTATATGGGACGCCGCCACAGCATGGCTTGCCAAGCAGTGCATCAGTGAGCGCCCGGGATCCGAACCGGCGAACCCCGGGCCGCCACAGCGGAGCGCCCGCACTTAACCGCTTGCGCCACCGGGCCGGCCCCAGTCCTCGATATGTCTTAACCAAGTTAGTTTCCAGTATATTCAGAATAATAGTTTTAAAAAATGGCGCCCTTAATATCAATAAACATCACTATCAGTAATTAGGCTAGACGCAATGCACTTGATTTATTTATGATTGCACAAATGTATGCTCAAAGCTTGCCCGTATTTTGGGCAATATAGATAATTAACTTATATTCTTTCTATTTGAAGGACAAATAATCATGTTTTTAATATATATGTAATGTCGTTTTTAAACACATTCTACATGCAGGTTGCTATTACCAGCTCAGTATTTGTGCTTTCATTACAACAGCTATCTGCCTCCTGCTTTCCCAGTATTCACACATTCTTTATAAAATCGATGTATCATATTTTGAAATAAAGCCTACTGCCATGTTAAAGTGAGGTTGCATTACGGAGTTTGATAGTGTTGCTCCTAAAAAATCATTTGGGGTATTTTGTCTTGTGAGAGTTTAGGCATAAATAACCACATGGCTGATGCTACTGTAGGTAGAGACCAACATACTGGATTCCTGGAAGTAGATTGTGAATTAATGGGATGATATGGGCGATGGTGATATCAGTCACATTCAGTGCTTTAGCCCTACTGTATTGCCAATAATTTGAAGGATTTTCTACTTTATTCTTTCATTAAATTTTATATTTACTTTCTGAGGACTTAGAATGCATATTTGTTATATTTCAGGATCACAGATTTTCAATAGCATGTAATACCAAAAGGCTAAATTGCTTTCCTGTCCTCATGGATATCATTAGCAATGGGCTACTTGGAATTTTCAATTCTTCAGAACACATTCAGACTGACAGGAGCACATATTTTGAAGTAAGTATAATATTATCTCACTTATACCAAGCCATAAGAAGTTTTCAAGAAAATACATGGAATGCTGAAATAACATCACGTAAATTTTTGTGAACTTATTCTTGAATAAGTTTATGTTTATATACATATTAATTACTATACTTACACACACACATATACACACACACACAATATTTAGCAATGATTCCATAACGTTATAATTTTAGTTGGATGACTTAGGGTCAATGGAACAGCAGATAATATAATTAATCAGGAAAAAGAAATGATGACTTTTGGTCTTAGATCTGTCACCATTTGTGGCCCTAGGTAGTAGGACATAGTTGAAACAGCCAAAGTCTTAAGGGCCAGACCATGTGGCCTTCTTAACAACTTGACTTCTGTAGGCCTTGGTTCACCAATCCACAAAAAAACACAGATAAAAACTTTATCATAAAGGTTTTAAGAAGTAAATGATGCAATGTGAACACCAGACTGAGTTGGCTGAGTTATTGTAAAGACCAGCGATAAGGCACATAAACCTTGAAAACCATGGGTGCTCAATAAATTGTACTTATTGTCATCACTGATGTTAATATTATTTTTCTAGGGAATGCATCATTTCCATTGAAGAACGTACAGCTTTGACTAGATAGGGGACTGGCTGAATTAGAACTAGGAGCAGATCTTGTTTAAAAAATAACTTGCCAGATCTGCTCAGATCCTGAGTCAGAATCTCCACAGTGGGGAGGAGGGTGTGCACATCTATGTCTTCAAGTCATCTCTTTCATCTTGCTGTGTTGAATCTCTCTTTGCCCAAATGACACCTTGGGCATATTCTATAGTTTCCTGGTCACTTTTTGTTATTGAGAAATATTCCAGTGCTGTCCCAAACTTCAATTTCCTAGCTGATTCAAACACTGGGGGTCAATATGTGACCTAAAGGAAGTGGATTGGGGCAGGTGGTGGTGGTGTGATTTGCTCTTTCATTCCTTTTTATTGTCTAACATCTTGGAGTAGAAAAGAGAGAGTGAGCTCTCTCTGGAACACCTCCCTTTCTTCTCCCTTCTGAACAAAACATGGCCAGCCTGGGAGCAGAAAGGAAGGATGGAGAGATCAAGGTAGAAAGAAATGGTGCTGTGGAGACACCTCTGCTTTCTCCCGTTGTGTCTGTTACTGGTACCTTCTACTTATGCGGTTGCCACAGCCTAGGTGACCTGTGTGATCGTCTTGGGGTAGTGTTTAGCTTTGACCCTAGTCCATTCTGTGGATGAAGACACACTCACTGTTGCAGAGCAAAATGTCTCTTAGGCTGCTGAAGAGAAGCCCACACCATCAAGCTTTCTCCAGTTTCCATTGTTCATTGTTTGATATGGCCATCATCCAGGTAGTTTAACAACTTATTAATATTCCCCTCTTTAACCTCCGTGCTTTTCAAAAAGAGCTCTGAGAACTGATGAGTGCTTCTTGCCCACTGATGGAAAGCTATAGAGATTTGGGATGTGATGGGGGTTCCTCCGTCTTCATCAGCACTTTATATTATTGTCCTCTCAAGCCACATCTCGGCAGTTCTCCTTCCTTCTGAAATCTCTAGGGCAGAAAAACTGTCTCCCTGTTCACGTGAGGCCCCAAGTGAACCTTGAATATTTAGAACATTTACTATGTGATTTACATGTATTATCATATTTAAATATCCTAACAAGACTTTGAGATAGGCGGTATTATTATTATTGTTATTATTATACAGCTGAGGAAACTGCAGTACATAGAGGTATGATATGTTTCATTAGGTGTTGTATTTGAAGAGACAAGTCAAGTATCTGGATAACCAAGAATAGAGTGTGCCCAAGGATGAATAAACCACCTGACCTGAGTTCTTGCTTTTAAAAAGATGGCTTTACTACAAAATATTTGCTACCCTCCAGCCCAGCTGACCTTGAGATCATGTGTAGATAAATTCTCCCTCTTTGAAATTGCTCCTGATTTCCACACTCAGCTCCTGGCATACTTCTACAATTCTGAAGCCCAATCTCCTTGATCCTAAAGAAAAGAGCTCACTGTAGCTCAAACCTTGCTTCTGACTCCACTCAATGACTTTAACCATCTATCAGAGTGTCCTGAAGTGTTCCCAACCACCTCCTCCTGTAAGTTTTCACCCGACCAAACTACCCAGTTAATATCAAGTGTCTCTGTGGGTCCTTCCAGTCTAAGCCCCGGTAAACTTGACTGTAGGTGGGTATAATCTAATATGGACATAAAATGTTATTTATGAACCAAGTTGCGAGTAAGGGAGCTGGCTGTTGAGACTAATTATGAATTTTCCATCCCAAAGATCTTCCAAATCTGGAAAATCAACAAGGCTGACCATAGGCAAAGATGTCAAATGGGTGAGGGGGTCCTTGGTACTCTTTCTTCCCCTTCCAGGGCTTCATCTCCACCTTCTCCATCTCCATCTTCATATGCATCTTTATTTAGGCAGTTTTATGTGCTATACGATCTCTGACGGGCACCAAGTTTTAGGAGGGGCTAAGAGAAAAGTAAGGAGATCTTAAAACTCATGACACCTGACCTCAGATAACTTGCAGTATAGTGAGGCAACTTATTGTAGATCCACTAAAGGCTTCTAGCAAAACCCAAGGCCATCTTTAACCTGTACAGGATTTTGAACTTTTTTAAATTCAACGCCTTTATATGGAGTGTGTGTTGACCATTTTTATTCAAGCCCCATCACTTTTATTTCCTAATGCCCACCTACTCATTAATTTATATCTGCCAGGTTCCTGAAGGCATTTGAATTTGTTCCTTATGAATAAAGTTGAGCCAGAGGAATGATTCTTCATAAATGTTGAACTGAACTGATTTGCCACAAATTTCTGAGAGTAATGAAGTAACTCATCCATTGACAGTCCACAAATGCTATTGTCTATTAAAACATCAGCCTAGGGCCGGCCCTGTGGCTTAGTGGTTAAGTGCGCGCGCTCCGCTGCTGGCGGCCCGGGTTCGGATCCCGGGCGTGCACCACTTCTCTGGCCATGCTGAGGCTGTGTCCCACTTACAGCAACTAGAAAGATGTGCAGCTATGACATACAACTATCTACTGGGGCTTTGGGGGGAAAAAATAAATAAATAAAATCTTTAAAAAAATTAAAAACAAAAACAAAAACATCAGCCTAAATGTTGTCATCGTGATGTCAGACAGCAGAAATTTTATGCTTACCTTGTTACCAAGCAAGGGCTTGCTGCCTGATCTGCATAGAAGCTGATACTACAGCACTGGCTTTTGAGAGAAGAAAGGGCTTTATTGCAAGGTCAACTGAAGCAAGGAGACAGGAGGCAAGGCTCAAATCTGTCTCCCCGAGCTGAAGCAGGGACAGATTTTAAGGAGTTGGGAGTGGGAGTCGTTATGTAAAACACTAGCTTGGTGGGGTCTGATTGGAGGGTGGGAGTGTAACAGTCTTATAAGTCCAGTGTGCTGCAAGTCAAGGGAACACTTGTTTGTTATTAAGTTCCCTGCACCACTTTCTGTTCATGTTGAGTTCTGTAGTTAGGGAACTTTTGGTTGCCAGGTGGCTTGAGGTCATCTGAGAACAAGGTTTCTGTCTTCTGAGCATGCTCCAGCTACATGACTTGCAGTTTTTGCTCATTGCCCCTGCAAAATAACTTTGATACTTTGTTATTGATACAATAAGATACAATAGGGCCAGTACCAATTGGTCTATGATGGTTACAACCTCACAAGTTATTAACTGTGGGACCTTAGCCAATTCATACAACTTGGTGGAGCTTGCTTCTTCACAAGTAAATCAAGACACCTGTTCAAAATGTCCAAGTTGCTGCAACACATGATTGAAAACGAATGTGGGTAAGAAGTTGCAAACAGGACCTTGGGAAGTGCTTTGAGTGGTGAGACTGATTCGTTTATTTGAATGATTTAGTTAGGAAAGTACAAGTGAATCATATGCTCAACTGCCATCAGCTCACACGTTTTGTGTAATTTCAGGAGCACATGTCTTATGAGTATGAGTTCCTGAGTGACGCCTTCTTCTGGATACTCGCGGCTGCCTGTTTTACTCCTTTTATTGCAATGAGCAGCATCGGTGACTATAAAGTAAGAAGAGTTAACAAAGCCTTTACATATTCTTAATATCCAGAGAACCTGTCCCCATCTTATGACCATAAACTTATATGTAGGTGGTGCACCTAATTTATGTGCTTGACACAATGAACAATCAAGCATTTTAATAAAAGGTTGACAAATATGAAGAAATGCTATTTTTCTTAAACAAATGTGAGACCTCAAGAACGACAGCTTAGGCGATATCATCAGCTAACAAGGAATGGCGGTTTTATCCAGTATACCACTTAGAGTTTTATTTCCAGACACTCACTGATGTAGTCACATCCCTTCTCTCAATGGTGGTTTCCACTTTCCAGATGGTGGTTATGTTACTCAGTTAAACAGCCCTAACCAACTCGCCACAGCACTTTGGCTTTTTGTTGAAAAGACTGTTCCTTTAAAGCTTCATTTTTGCAATTCTTTTATAAAAATTCAAGAAGCCTATAACAGAGTCCTTCCGCCTTTCCATGGTACTTCTGTTCCATGGAAAGGCCCTTTCTTGTGTCTCCATGTCCTTAGCACTGTCATCTGATGCTCCCTTTGTGCTGTTGAGCCCTGTGAGAATTCAGATGTTGTTGATGGGTTTGAATTAATTTTCATTTATTCAGCTCTTAAACTGTCCCTATATTTAGCAATTTCTCCCATGAGAAACACAAATATAATTCTTCCTTCCCTTGTATGAGACCATACATTCACCACTTTCTTTTACTGCTCTTGTCACGCTTTCTCATTCTTTTTTTTGGAGTCAACCTGCTTCATTCAAATCTTGACTCTTCCATTGTCAAACTGTATGAACATCTGGAAATTGCTTAATCACTCTGTGTCTCACTTTTATCACCTGTAAATAGGGAATAATAATTACATCTATTTGAAATAGATTCCTGTGAGGATGTGGTGAAATAATATCTATTAATTACTTAGAACAATATCTGGCATACAGTAAGTTTCCTGTAAATGTCAGTGCTTTATGTCCAAATGTCCGGGATTTAGTCCTGGAGCCCCTTTGCAGCTATTTCCAGAATTCTCGACTTCCATATGTACAACAGCCTACTTGATATCTCTACACTGATGCCTAATGTACATTTCAAATATGGGCAAAAGGAAACTTATGATTTTCCTGGCTAGATCCACTCATCTCCCAACTTACCCATCTCAGTAAATGGTGCTACAATCTACAGTTGCTCTATCACAAACTTTTGGAGTTATCTTTGCTTCTCTCTTTCTTTTACCTCCCTTGTCTCATCCGTCAGCAATTCCTTTAAACTCTACCTTGAATGTATCAAATCCATCCACTTCTTTCCATCTCTACTATTTTGGTCCTGGTCTAAGTCATTTTCATTCCTTGCCTGAACCACTGCAATAGCTACTCATCAGTCTCCTTCTTTGCAATTAATTCCACATACACAGCCACAGCAAGCTTTCAAAAGTTTTAATCGTTACCTTGCCTCCAGTAACAACCTCTAGTAACATCTTTTTGCATCTAGACTTAAATCCTAATTCCTTACTTTGTCTGGCAGAGTCCTGCATGATCTGTCTCCTATCTCTCAATCTTCTCTTATTGCAGTCTCCTCCCCTACCCACCCCACATTTTTTTGTGTTTCTCAAGCATGCCAATATCATTGCCATCTCTGCGCCTTTGCATTGGCCGCTGCTTCTGTGGAATGTTCTTCCTCCTGTGCTTGGCACTGCTGGCTTCTTCTTGTCATTCAAATCTCAGCACAAATATCATTTAAACAGAGACTCCTTCCCCGCCTGCCCAGTTTAAAATAGATTCCCCATCACTGCCACATGAGCTCATTTTAAAAATCTATGCATAGTGCTTATTGCTATCTGAATCTTTTCTCATTTTTTTTGTTAATAATCTCCTCCCCACTAGGAATAAGCAGCATCAGAGCAGAAATATTTTTCTCTAAATTTTACCTACTCCATTGTTGCTTATCTCTATAAATAATGGATTACCTTTCATTCTTTTACTCTTGACTAAAATCTAGGAGCTATTCCTGTAATGGTTGTCAGAGTAAGCAAATAAAATTACAGATACCAAGTTAAATTTCAATATCAAATAAACAGTAATGTATTTTTTTTGGTATAAGTATGTCCCAAATACCGATTGGGACATACTTATACTAAAAAAATTGGTATGTATCTAAAATTCGAATTTCACTGGCAACCCCATGACAGTGATACCCCTCTCTCCCTCACCTCCATAGCCGGCTAGTGGTGAAGTCACAGAATTTACTTCTGAAAATATCTGGAAGCTTTCCACCTTCCTCCATCTCTCCCATGACATGCTAGTCAGAGCCACTATCATCTCTTTCTCGGATGAGCACAACAACCTCCCTGACTGCTCGTCATGGATCCACATTAGTCTTCTTATCCATTTTCCACACAGTGTGACAGAGCAATATCTTAAAAACACAGATCTAACCACGTAAATTACCTGCCTAAATCCCTTCAGTGGTTTCTCATCAGATTAAGGAGCAAGAATGAAATCCTTGCCACAGCCTGAAAAGCATGTGTGATCCGGACCTGGGTGTCTCTCTCCACTTTGATCTGATGCCACTATCACCTTAATAACTATGTCTAGCCACACTGGCTTCTTTCCAGTTTCCCAAAAATATCAACTCTACCCACTGCAGGGGTCTTCCCTCCCGTTCTCTCTGCCTGCAATGCTCCCTATCTGTCGCCTGGATAACTCCTACTCATTGCTGAGACCCTAACTCAAACCCTTCACAAGGAAACCCTCCCTGACCCGACCCCCTAATTATAATTCATCTCCCTTCTAAAGGCTCTTATATGACCCTGAACCCTCTTAATACTTCTAATTTTACTTCTTTAATTTTTAATTTTAACAATTTTAATTATGTAGCTATTGCTATGCTTATTTACTTTTCGCCTTTATCTCTCTTCCCTTCTGCAACTTAAACCCCACAAGAGCCCCAGGACCAACACAAAGCCAGGCACACGGTATAAGCTTGGTAAATATATACTGAACAAATTAATGAATAGGGAATGTCAAGTCCTCTAATGCATCCTCACAAGCATTCTCTTTTCTGCTTCCTTCCAGATGCACTCTCCTTTCCAGAATATTTATCTGCATTCCAACTTTTCCCCTAATGAATCTCTTTATTTTATTTTATTTATTTTTTTGTGAGGAAGATTAGCCGTGAGCTAACACCTGTTGCCAATCCTCCTCTTTTGTGCCGAGGAAGATTGGCCCTGGGCTAACATCTGTGCCCATCTTCCTCTACTTTATATGTAGGACGCCTGCCACAGCATGGCTTGATGAGTGGTGTGTAGGTCCGTGCCCGGGATCCCAACCTGTGAACCCCAGGTCGCCAGGAGCAGAGCATGCGAAATTAACCACTATGCCACCAGGCCGGCCCTGAATCTCTTTATTTTAGATTGAAAATTTTAATTGCTTTTGTGCTTTACTTTTAGAAAAGTCCAAGTTATAGTTTAAGACCTTGTGTTAAGACAACCAGTGCAACAACAGGGCTTATAATGAGTCACAATGTCAAAATCCACATACTAGTTTTAACATATAATCATGAAATATATGGTTTAGTTCAAGACGATGTATCACATTTTAACGGAAGTCTTCTTATGCCACCCTAAAGAATTTTTAATGTAATTGACTCGTTAGATGATCGTTTCTTAGACCCAAAATAAGATGCCAATTATAAATGCACTGTTTACTTTCAGCATAAAATTTAAGACTCTTACAAGAAACTGTAAACCTACATCTCTTGAATCTTTGTACAATTTGCAAGTCTTTATAGTGTCAAAGGGAAGAGTAGCTTTGGAAAGAAAAGAACAGGTATCTTCTCATTGAGGCAACCCCCAGTCATTCTGTGATGGAAAGTGAGCTGGTCACGTTAGTGCATTTTCCCTTTAGACAATGAAGTCGCCGTGTGGTTTGCAGTGTTATTAACGCCCCTGAAGTGAGAGTGTGGCAGGCAAGTGACGATGTCATTTACTAAATCAGCATAATATATAAAAGGGACATAGAGAAAATGAATGCTTTTGTGACCACATATTTGCAATTTCTCAAGTCACAACTGTTTAGAACCTTTGATGATTCTTCTATTTCTTTACCAGAAAAAAACTCACTCCCAGCTGCGGATTTCAGGGCTCCATCCTTCTGCTTACTGGTTTGGGCAGGCGCTGGTAGATATTCCTCTGAACTTCTTGATCCTCCTTCTAATGCAAATAACGGATTACATTTTTAGCCCAGATGAGATTATATTTATAATTCAAAACCTGTTAGTTCAGGTAAGTGACAAAAATTATGAGATGGTTTTATTAGACTATTTTTCATGAATGCAGTAACGTTATTAACCTTAAGCCAAAGAACCTCACATTACCTTTGCTATAGCTTAGTTTAGAAAGTTGTGGTTTAAGTATGAATACTTTCCTAGATAACATTTACCTTATCCAACTTTAATATTTTTATTTTCAGATCCTGTGTAGTATTGGATATGTTTCATCTCTTGTTTTCTTGACATATGTGATTTCATTCATTTTTCGCAATGGGAGAAAAAACAGTGGCATTTGGTCATTTTTCTTCTTAATTGTAAGTATGCAGACAGTGCATATTATTTTTAAACCATTTTAAAGATAATTTTAAGGACATATTTTAATCTTTGTTCTAAGCAGAATGGAAAATTAATATTGCTCTCTTGGAAATTCTAATTACTCTAAGATAATAATAAACATACATAAAGTACTGTATGTGTGGATATCTACCATTCATAAACTATGAACCCAAATATGTCTCCAGGTCTAACCTCTCCCCTGAGCTAGAGACTACTGCCTCTACCAGTTCACTTGCAATTTCACTTGAATATTTAAAAAGCACCTCAATGATCACATATCTGAAATATAATCCTTTCTGCAATCTATTCTTTGTATCTTAATACATCACATTATTGCAGCACAATCTACCCAGCTAATCGCTCATACCAAAGATCTAGAATTATCTTTAATTCCTCTTTCTTTGTTTCTCTTCACATTCAATCCATTTGCATGCCCTTTAGACTCTTAACATTTCCCAAGACTGTTTGGTATGTCCCAACTTCACTGCCATAGCCATTGTCTAAGCTTCCATCATCTCTCAACTGGAATATTCCAGCAGGTCTGTAACTTGTCTCCTTCTTTCTAGTCCTGGCTCCTATAAACTATTTCCACATAAAAACCAAAATGATCTTTTAAAATAAATTTTTGTTAAAAAGTATAACTGACATACAGAAAAGTACACCATAGACTAGTCTAGCCAGTTTCTAAACTGAATAAACAGGGAATCATGTAGAAGGTATTATTCGCTATCTGCTCTTAGTCAGCAGTATGTTTTCAGTCATCCCTGATGTTGTATCTAATTACTACAGAGTATTTCATTCCTTTCCATTTCTGTAGTATTCTATTGATGAATGTGCTATTATTTGTCTGTTCTATTGTTGACAGACATTAAATTGGGTTCCTGTTTTGGACTGTTATGAATAATGCTGCCATGAGTTTTCTTGTCTGTCTTTTGGTGCACATATGTAAGACCTGAAACCAAAAAACTCCTTGAAAAAAACATAGGAAACAAAGCTTCCTGATATTTGTCTTGGCAATAATTTTTTGGATATGACACCAAAAGCACGAGCAACAAAAGCAAAACCAACAAGGGGGACAACGTAAAAAGCTTCTGTACAGCCAAAGAAACCATCCTAATATCCAAAGACTATAGAGAACTCACACAACTCAATAGCAAAAAAAAAGGAAACAATCCAATTAAGAAATGGATAAAGGACCTGAATAGGCATTTATTCCAAAGAAGACACCCAAATGGCCAACAGGTACATGAAAAAGTGCATTAACATCACTAATCATCAGGGAAATGCAAACTGAAACCACAATGAGGTATCATCTCACACTGTTAGAATGGGTGTCTTCAAAAAGACAAGAGATAACAAATGCTGGCAAGGATGTGGAGAAAAGGGAAACCTTATACACTGTTGGTGGGAATGTAAATTGGTAAGTCACCATGGAAAACAGTATGGAGGTTCCTCAAAAATTTAGAAATAGAACTACCTTAGGATTCGGCAACCCCATCTCTGAGTATTTATCTGAAGGAAATGAAATCACTATCTCATAGAAATATCTGCACCCCATGTTCGTTGCAGCATTATTCACAATAGCCAAGACATGGAAACAACCTAATTGTCCATTGACAATGAATATATAAAGAAGATGTGGTGTATATATACAATGGAATATTATTCAGCCTTAAAAAGAGGAAATCCTGCCATTTGTGAAGATTGGATTTTCCTTCATGGATTCTCCTTGAGGGAATAAGGCTAAGTGAAATAAGTTAAACAGAAAAAGACAAATACTGTAAGATTTCACTTGTATGTGGAATCTAAAAAAGCTGAACTCATAGAAAGAGAAAGTAGAATGCTGGTTATCAGGGGCTGGGGGGTGGGAGAAATGTGGAGATGTTGGCCACAGGGTACGAATTTCCACTTATTAGATAAATAAGTTCTGGGGAGTCTAATATACATCATGATGACTATAGTTAACAACACTGTTTTATATACTTGAAGTTGCTAAGAGAGTAGCTCTTAAATATTCTCACTATAACAACAACAAAAATGGTAATTATGTGAGGCAAAGGATGTGTTATTAACTAACTTTATTTTGGTAATCATTTCACAATATATGCATGTATCAAATCATCATGTGTACACCGTAAACTTACACAATGTTATATGTCAATTATATCTCAATAAAGCTGGAAAAAAAAAGATGAGCTGATTAAGGATGAAATTAATCCAACCAAGAAATAAGTCAAAATAAAGAATTCAAGAAAATAAAAATTGCTGCAAAGCACTGGTAGGGACCACTGAATTCTGTTAAAAACGCATGAAGATTACATAACTTTGGGAATCATGGTTATGACATTTATATAGCAAAATCCACAAAGTTTAATAGTTCTTTTACAAAGCAAGCTTAACTTTAATAAAAAATCCTGAGGAAGACAGAGTAAAAAAGAAAATCATTGATAAATTCACTTGGAAAAGTCAAGGACAGCTCTCTAAATAAAACGATGTAACAGCAAACCTAGAAGTAAATTAAAAGAATAATAATAAAAAATAATCAAGTATGATTTATTCCAGAATGCAATGATGGTTCAGTATTAGCAGCTATCACACTAAAGGAGGAAAACGGCATGAGCTAAGAAAACACTATACAATTTCTAAAAAAACACCCAGTGAAAAGAAAATATAAACACAAGAAGGACAAATTACCAAAACCAATGGCGAATATCTTAGTACATGGTAAAACTATACAGTTAATCACCTAATACCAGGAGTAAAACAAGGACACCCTCAATAATTAATTAGCATCCTGTGTCAGTGAGGTGGCATAATGTGCACTCTAATTCCTGGTTTGTAGGAGAATAGACTGTCATAATCATTTTGAAAAATAATCTGTTAGTAACTGTTGAAAATTTCAATGCACATAAATTTTAACCTGCAATTACAGTTCTCAGAATCTCTCTTTAAAGAATAAAAGTGTCAATATATAAGGATTTATGTAGAGCATCATTTTTAGGAGCAGAGAAATTGAAACAACACATTTTATGAAGGCAAAATTGTTGAATTCTTGCATATCCACTCAAAGAAATACCATACAGCTATGAAAATGAACAGCTGGTATGCCTAAACCTAAAAAGATGTCTATGGCCTATTGTGAAATGAAAAAGAGAAAAATGCAGAATAATGTGTAATAAATGGCCCCTTTGTCAGAATCTGAATTTTAGCAAGAACTCTAGCTGATTTGTATGCACACTGAGTTTGAGAAGCCCTGTTGTGCCTTAAAAATTTCATAGTCAATCCAATACAGAATTGTGACACAGTGTTGCAAAGGACAAAACATGACAGCAGTACTCTCTTGCAGTGGGGTGAGACAGAAGTTGAAAGTGAGAGCATTTATGAGATGAATTGCCACCCTCTTGGAAAACATCCTAAAATTCGGATTGTGACACTAGTGAAACTGTGGTGTGCTTTTGTTTTAGATCACCGTCTTCTCGATAGTTGCTACTGATCTAAATGAATACGGATTTCTAGGGCTATTTCTCTGCACCATATTAATACCACCCTTCACAATGATTGGCGCTCTATTCATTTTTTCTGAGGTAAGTAAATTCACTCCTGTCCTAGGGTCATGAGATGTGTGGCAGGTGGAGAAAGCCTTAAGTATTGTAAAGATGTAGGTAGAGTCCTTAGCTGCACCAAGGTTAAAGTCTCTGTCTTTGGAAAGCCAATTCTCTTACCACAGGCAAGAGTCATGTTCTCATTCGATAGGAAGCCCTGCCTTGCATTATGAAGGTCAAAGGCAACTCCACAGTACTAGAATTTTACAGTTCTCACGATAAGCATCACTCCTGGGAATAAATGACCTTGCTGGGAGGCTGACGAGATGCCCTTTTTCTGTTAATTTTGGACATGTTAGGTTTAAGTTTCCTAATAGACATGCAATGGGAAATGTCAAGTAGCCAGTTGGATATGTGATTCTGAAATTCAGTGTGTGGGCTTATGAGGAGTTTGGGACTAAAGTTAAATTCCTGTGATTCATCAGCATATAAATGATATTTAAAGCCACAGGACTAGACAATATAACCTACACAATAAGTACAGATAGAATGAAAAGAGGGCCAAGGATTTGGCCTTGAATTCCAAAATTTAAAGACTGAGAAGAGGAGGAGTCAGCAAATCAGCTTGACAAGGAGCCTGTGAGGTAGGAGAAAAAACAGGGGACTGTTGTGTGCCAGGATCTCTTCTCAGAAACTCTCCTCAAACACTTAAAGTATCAGTATATGAGGATGTGGGCCAGACCGCAGTAAAGAATGTTTCAAAATGGAGAGAGTGATTCACCCATCAAATGAGAGGTCTAGAAAGATGACAACTGAGAAGAGACCATTGGATTTGACTACATGGAAGTCATTGGTGATATCAGCAAGACAGATTTCAATGAAAGGATGAAGACAAAAGCATAGTAAGAGTCAGCTTAGTAGAGAATGCGAGGTGAGGATGTAGTGCAGTGGCTAGCGACACAAATTTCTAGAAATTTTGCTAAAAACGTTACCAGAGAAATGGAAGAGTAAATGAATGAGGAGAATAGGTTTTTGTTTAAGAAGGGCAATACTAGGCTGATACGAGAGAAATTTCTGATGAAAAGAGACGTATGGAATACCTAAGAAGCCAAGTCCTTGAATAGCTGAGAAAAAATGACATAGAGGGCACAAGCAGAGAGGTTGCCTTCCTTAAAAGCAGGAACATTCTGTCTATTTATCAAGATCGTAGCCAGAGTATATGAATACAGAGGCAGATGGTTTAGTAGTTTCGATGGTAGAAAGATGCCATGATTCTTTTCTGACTGATTCTACTGTTTTAGGGAAAGAGGTGACGTTATCAACTGAAAGTAAGGTGGAGAGGGGTGTTGGGATTTGGAGGATAGAGGAAAAGATGTGAACAATTATTTCAGAGAGTAGGTCAGTGGAATTGACAGGCAGTGCTAAAGGACCCCTCACCTACTTACAAGTGAAGTCAGCAAAGTCGAATGTTTTATTACCCTAATTAGCTTCTCAGAGGCAGTTCAGGGCAGGTGGAGAGTTGGGTTCACTCAGGGTTTAGTGTTTTGCAAGACGAGTCTGACAAAGAAAATGATAAGGGAGCAGGGGTTCTGTATAAGGAGGGATTATAACAACGGACCATGGATTCTAAGCTAGGGGATGAAGAAATGAAGGAAATGAGGCTTACGGACAGTGAAAAGGTGGTGGGGTTGGTGGATGGGAGGTTCACAAACTCCAAATTATGGAATAATCATACTAGAGAAGGAAGCTGAAAAAATAAGATGTGGTGGCAGAAAGGACAAAGCTCAGGGGCCTGAAGGTGATCTTGGATGCGGTACAGTTATTGGAAGCAGGTGGCAGAAGCTCTTAGGAGAACAATATCATTTGCAATGATGTCAGGTCCTGGCAAATCATCCAATGTGAAAAACAAAATCATCTCGTTTAGATGGTGGATGGCTATGATAGTTAGAGATTTACTGCATCAGCTTAAAGTTGCTCAGAAAAAAAGCCTTGGAAAATACAGTTCAAGAAACAAACTTGGCCCTTTACTCTTTATTCACTAAAGAGTTGGAGGATGTTTCGGAACGTATTGTAAATCTAATGAAAACCGTGCACTTATGTGTATGCATGGGAAACTCCAGGTGGAGAGCTTTGTTTTCAGCATGAGGGATTGTCATGATTATTCTCAAGAGTGGATGCAGCAAGGGACAGCAAGGTAATGGTCCCAGGACTCTTGGGGAAGAAGAGAGGGAAGGAGCACAGATGCAGAGAGAAAGGCAGGTAAAGTTAGGGGAGAGGGTTGTCTTAAGACAAATCTTGCCCGTGGCTTCGGTGGGTCCTGCCAGCACCACCCAGGATTCCCCTCGCAGGCAAATCCTGCTAAGCCACAGTGTTACATATAAGAGCATCTGAGCCTGTGACCAAGCACAGGTTAACAGTCACTGAGTGAACTTGGAAGCAAGGAAGACACACTGCACAGTCAGAAACTGGCTTTGATCTGATGCATCAAAGAGAATCGCATCGAATGCTGGCAAGGTCATTTAACAGACATGAATTTGTCTTTTGTGAGATGAGACTCACGAATAGATGATGGTTCATCTAAATGCACTTTTTCCTCATTTTACAGATTTCTCCCGACTCTATGGATTATTTAGGAGCTTCAGAACAGCAAATTGTATTTCTGGCATTGCTAATAGTAAGAAGACATTTCCATTTAAATGTTCTTGCACGAGGGGACACATTTGTATGCTTTGCATTAAACTCAAAATTTAATTTTGGCATGTAAAAATTTGGCATTTTAGGCATCTGAAGCAACACAAAGACACACAGAGGCTTTAAAACCTGGACCACTATCTTTATCATGATCATCTGACACTGAGTGTGAAGCCCAAACTCTAAACAACATGAAAAGCACTAGCATCAACTTACCACTACTATTTCTGTCACGGTTTCTCTGAAGAGCAGTGAAGCTGACTCTGAGAGTTTCATAGAATATTGTTAAATAGATTGTCTCTCAATCTTGTGGAAATGCTACCAAATCTACCTTTATCTATGATCAAACTCCTTAAATCAATTCTAATACTGAAATTGTTGTTTTTATGGTGATGCTCATTTTGATTGTCTTTTTTTTCCCCTAGCCTTACCTTCATTTTTTTATTTTCATTTTTGTTCTACGATGTCTGGAAATGAACTTTAGGAAGAAACCAATGAGAAAGGATCCTGTGTTCAGGTTGAGAAAATTCAAATAGAATTTCATGTTTTATTTTAATATTCATTGTGTAAAGATATTTTAATATGCCTCAATTAAGTAAAAAGTACTGTACAAGATTGTTTTTAAGGGACTGTGTAGTATACAAAATTATAATTCATGGTACTTTAATGAACTTATAATCTAGTGAGAGAAGCCACAGTAGCACACACCAGACCCTGAAAAATTAAGGCAGACCACAATTTCACCGACATATTAGAAGAAAGCTGTATACCAGAGGTAGAATCTTTAAAATAATAGGTAAGTATAGGTAAGCAATTAGATAAGTATAGCCAATCCAGGAAGGAAGAACAGTCTGAGCAAAAGAACAAAAGTTGAAATAAATACCACCTTCCTGTAGATTTGAAAAGGCAGCTGGAACAAACTTGAAGGCTTGTGTCGGAATATAATGGAAAATTAAACTGAAGCTAGATATTAGAGGGTCTTGGAGTAGGAAAGGTTTTGCAGATTACAGAGTGGGAAACAAAGACAGGTGTGTTCTGAAAACCTGGCTTAACTCACACAATATGAATCAAGTCTAATGGAGGTGGTGGAGCAGGAGAGTGAGAAGGTGACGGCCATGTTTTAGGAAATCAGCTGACAGCAGGAATTGCGTATGGCATGAGGGGAGACAGGAATCAGCAGGAATCAGCGGTGGGATGAGGAAGGGAAGAATTAGATTGCTATCAGTCAGGAAAGAGTGATTCTGACACAGATTCCCAAGGAATGACAGTGCTCAGTTACTGATGATTATATGTCCTGGGTTTTCTGGGACACATCTCTACTTCCAAATGTTCTGGTCCATTGTTCTCAGAAAGCATTCAGAATTCCAAATTAGCTGTCAAAATTGCAGTTTCTAGTTTCCTTTCTCATGCAAGTCTGCTCCAAAATCCTTTGTCAGAGAGTGTGCACTGTTTTATTATTTAAAAAAGAAGTCATGACTGACAAGGAGAGTTAAACTTAGGCAAAAAGCTAGGATGATTTTAAAAGTAGCATCATTTGACTCATTGATGAAAACTAAGCTGTTTGAAAGGCAGATGGTGTAGAGAAAAATGGGGATTATGTTGTGCTCACAGTTAATCTATTCACATAACTGATAACAGTATAGAGAAAATTCATTATTTTTGCTACAAGTTTTTCAACTGGAAACCTGTTATTATCACATTGTTTTGATTTTAGAATTTCCCCAGGAAGCAGTGATGTTTTTCCAAATCCAGAAGAACCCGAAGGAGAGGATGAAGATGTTCAGATGGAAAGAACGAGAACAGCCAGTGCTGTGACGGCCCCAGACGTTGACGAGGTAGAAAGACTGAAAACGCTCCTCGTCAAATAATTTTCTCTGGCAGATAAAGTGGGCAACTTTCTAATCTTAATTTTTGAAAAACACTTTGAGGTTCTTCCATCCTTACACATACAGCTCATTGCTTCACTTCAGTAAACAGGTAATGCCCACAAAGATAAGAGGACAAAGGAAATACAGACACACGCGCACACACACACACGCACACACCCCTGTTAATGTATGTTTCAGAATCATAGTTTTGGTAAGTAAAGCTAAACATTACAAAACCTAAGTAAGACTTCGTGAGTTTTAGAAACTGAGTAAAGCTTACTGCAAGCAATTCAGAGAGCTTTTGTCTGAGGCATAAATTGTTTGTGTGCATGTGTGTGTGTGTGTGAGCATGTGTCTTAACAGTACTGTTGATTTGGTGGCTGTCTCTATTCCTATCTTCTGAGGAAGGGCAAATACAAATCATATGATACAGTGCACATGTCCTTTCCCTGCAGGAATATAGAGTGAGAGAGGTCACCTGAAAATGGCAGTTTCTAGGGGAAGGACTGGTTTGATTCGTGATTTGGTATAGGGGAAGATTTGGTCATAAGCAGTACAGAGCACTCACTTATTTCAAGGTGAGAATAAAGCCCCGTGGTTATTTACTTGTCTTTACAGAAACCAGTCATCATTGCCAACTGTCTACGGAAGGAATATGCAGGCAAAAAGAAAAACTGCTTTGCCAAGGGGAAGAAAAAAGTGGCCACCAGAAACGCCTCTTTCTGTGTTAAAAAAGGTTGGAAAGAGTAGTTCTGTTAGCAGAGCGATCTTGACCTCTGAAGATGTGGTCCTTTGAAGGGAATAATGCTATCCAAGCCTGGGGCCCTGTACTGATAAACATGAAAGGCAGCCAACTCATCAGCAGGCTAAGGCTGATCCATCCTGCTTAAAAGCCTCAGTTACGATTATAACAACGTTTGTACTTTGCTTAGGGAGACGGTTACGTTTGTTCTGTTAAAATAAACAAACAGACAAAAAGAACAACAGCAGCCACCAAAAGGGAGGCAGTCTTGCTGTTAAGGAGGATGGTATAGCTTTCTGAATGATAAAAATAATTTCACAGCATGGAATACCACCCAGGAGAGAACTCACTGGGGCATAATAGTGCATTCTTCATTCTCACAAATAGCACATTTTGTGGAGAGTTGGTTAAGTGTAACAGTCTTTGGAATCAAAACTTGTTTCAAATTCCAGCTCAACCTCTTATTGGCTGCACGACCTTGGGCAAGTTATTTATCTTCTTTGTGCCTCAGTTTCCTCACCTATAAAATGATGCTAGTGATAGCACTCAGGTTTGTGTGTAGGTGTGTGAAGAATAAGTGAAATAATGTATATAGTGAGTTTGACATAGAACTTGACACAGAGTGAGTCTTCAACTAGTGTTTTCTTTTGATTTTTGTTGTAATTATTTGAAGTTATAATTCTGAGCATACCTATTTCTTTCAGGTGAAGTTATAGGGCTGTTAGGACACAATGGAGCTGGTAAAAGTACAACTATTAAGATGATCACTGGAGACACAAAGCCAACCGCAGGGCAGGTCAGTAAAACACACAGAAATGTGGTCATTAATGCTGCCTAGAACAGACATTTTACAATGAATATTGATGACAACCTTAAAAATACTTAGATGATCCTGTCCTATCAATCAATGTGGTTTATGCATTGAATGAAGAGGATTAATTTAAAATTTCTCTCTTTAATTCCAAAAATAGGTGCTGAAAAGGGCTACATATTATCTATACTATGCCTTTTACTGAATGAAAAATAGAGACATTAAAGGAAGTATTTATTCCTCGTGGTCAGAGATCTTTGTTTTGTTGACTTGTGTATCCCAAGAACTTGTTGAATTGAATTGCCTTATCCAGCATCACATCAGAAACCACTGTCAGAAGAAGGACAAGTCCTGCTTGTGTGGTTGCAGAGACATGAATCTTCATACAGTCATGTGTCACTTAATGACGGCGATACATTTTGAGAAATGTGTCGTTAGGTGATTTTGTCCTTGTGCAAACCTCATAGAGTGTACTCACACAAACCTAGATGGTACAGCCTACTACACACCTAGGCTGTATGGTACTAATCTTTTGGGACCACTGTCTTATATGTGGTCCGTGGTTGAACCAAATGTCTTTTTGTGGCACATGTCTGTTTTTAGTAACTATTCTCTACCAGTATGCTGTAATTAAATATTTTATGTGATTGTGAACAATAAAAGTCCATTATCAAGTACAAGTTCATAGGTCTTTACAAAGAGTATATACAACAGACATTCTCTTATAATTATTGAGACATATCCTGGCCCAATTGATATAATAGGGTGACCAGTAACCGTAGATAAATTGAGCAGCAGAGAGTATCATTATAGATACATTGAAGTTCTTGAAGCACAACAGTGATGCTGGGATAGGGGTAAAACATCCAGGATTTATTATGAAAATGGAGATCGTAGGTTAGAGAAAAAATTAAAAATTGCCTAAATTCCAAAGCAAAAACTAGAAGCATATATGAATACTACTTGGCAATATGTCTAGGCCAAGATGGGTAAAATGATGGACTGAGGTCCAAAGGACCACGACTTTGAAGGGGAGATGCTATTGACATTTGAGAGAAGGTTAAGGTCAGCAGGAGTGTTCATCGAGAGAGGTTCCTCAGTGGTGTTGATAGCTACCAAGGTTTGCTAAATTGTCTTTCCATTTCCACTCTTGCCTCACACAGCAACCAGAGCAGTCCTTAAAAAATGCAAACGAGATCATGTCCCTACCCTGCTTACAACCCCTCACTAGAATTGATCCCAAATCTCTACCGTGGCCACAAAAGGCCCTGCAAGATGTGGGCTGTCAACCGCATCTCACACCACATCCCTTGCTCACATTGCCTTCGGTCGTCTTCCCACTGCAGGATCTTTGGTTTTGTTTTCCTGTGGCTAGAGTATCCTTTCTTGACTCTTCATGTGCTTGGTTATCTCCTTCTCATCACCTTAAAATTTACCTCCCCCAAAGGCCTTTCCCTGACTACACTAGTAGCTAAATCGGAACCCCCCTTTTATTCTTTAGCTCATCTGTTTCCTTGAAAGCATTAAGCAGGGGCTGTAATTCTTTCACTCATGTGTTTACATGTTCATTTTCTGTTTCTCTCTCTAGATCAAAAGTTCTATGAGGCCAGGTTAACTAGTTCTCTACTTTATATTGGAGAGACACCATATAGCATCAAGGTCAAGGGCTTTGATTCTGAAGGTAGATCCAGGTTTCAACTCCCACGTTTACCCTGACCTTCTGCAAGTTCCTAAATCTACGCACATGTCGCTTTTCTCATATGCAAAACAAGGATGATACAACTAATACCTAAGTCACATAGGGTTTTTCTAAGGATGAAGTAATCTAAAACATAAAATGCTTATATTCTGGCACATAGTAAGTATTGGTACACAATGCCTGTTGTTATTATTATATAGCACAGCATCTGGCTCATAATAATAATAAATGCTATCATTGGTTCCTATGTGCCAGACTAGTGCTTATAACTTTTCGTTTATTACCTTAGTTCAGGATTTCTCAAGCTCGGCACTGGTGACATTTCGGACTGGATCGTTTTTATTGTGAGGGACTGTCTTGTGCATTGTAGGAGATATAGCAGCATCCCTGGCCTCTACTCACTAGGTACCCACTGGCATCCCAACTGTGACAACCAAAAATGTCTCCAGACATTACGAAATGTCCTCTGGGAGGAGGATTGCCCTAATTGAGAACCATTGCCTTATTTAATCCTCACAATAAACTTGTGAAACAGATCCTATAATTACAACTCTTTTAACACTGGGGAGTCAGGATCCTCAGCAAATATCTAACGCTTTGAATGTTTGGGTCAATGAATGAAGTCAAACAGTAGACAACCAAATAAGCAACCTTGAATTTAACCACAGAGATGGACTTGGTAATAAAGTCTAAGCCATAATGGAGAGACATAACAATGTGGAACACTGTTCCACATTGTCTTTTGATTTATTGAGTTTTTATCATCTTTTCCTCAGACCTAAGTGATTACTTATTTGCTTTGGTATTCTTGGCAGCCATGTGTGTAAGAGGAGGACATCACTGAAATATACACTCAGGTGCACATATAAACACACACAATTTTGGTGTGATTGTGAGAATGAACTTTTTATATAGGTGACTTTGAAAAGCAGCAGTGGAAGGGACACTGTCGGGTTCCTGGGGTACTGTCCTCAGGAGAACGCACTGTGGCCCAACCTGACAGTGAAGGAACATCTGGAGGTGTTCGCTGCTGTGAAAGGACTGAGGAAAGGGGATGCCACCGTCGCCATCACACAGTATGTGGGGAGCCACACCTGTCTCTACTGGGGGGATGTGATAGTAATGATGTTCATGCGGTTAAGGAAGGGAGATTCCAACTGTTGCCTCCATGCCTGTGGGAGAAGACGTGGTCATCTAGGACCCAGTTTAGTGCTGTGTTCTCACTTTAAGCCTGGAGACCAAAAGTTTATTGATTATTCTTAATATGGAAAGAAGTCATTGAAAATATGAGTTGGACTACCATGAAAGGTTCATAAAGTATCTTAGGTGGTTTCACTTTTCATGATCACTCTGAATACTCTTAAAAATTTCTCCACTGTAGTGTTTGTTCTGATTTGCTCATTCTCCATTGAGCAGGGGTAATGCGGATTGACTCACTGTTTCCTTCAGGTTGGTGGATGCGCTCACGCTGCAGGACCAGCTGAAGCTCCCGGTGAAGGCCTTATCGGAGGGAATGAAGAGGAAGGTAGGGGCGGGGCTCAGTGTCACTCTGCGCACCCCGCAGATCCCAGCCAGACACGCCGTTCCTCTCCTTCCAGCTGTGCTTCGCGCTGAGCATCCTGGGAAACCCGTCGGTGGTCCTTCTGGACGAGCCGTCCACCGGGATGGACCCTGAGGGGCAGCAGCAAATGTGGTGAGGAGCTGTCATGAGCAACCCTAAATGAATTTATTAGTCTTGTAACAGCTAACCTTCAAAATTATAGTTTACTTATAAAGTCAAAGATATCCACATTATCAAGAAAAGAGATATTAAGGAAAAAAATCTGATGTTTTATCACAACCAGTTTTTATTAAGGAGAAAAAGATAATTCTCACAACCTAATATGCACTCTAAGAATTTCATTTTCCTCTTAGATCTTCTGGGGTGCATGGCTCATTTTTAGACTCAACCGAATCAGTCTATTATTAAGTTTTAAATTCTTCAACTTCACCTGATACACAAGACTTATGGAGGAAAAAATATTCCCAGTCTTCAATATATTCTGTAGTTACTTTAGGAATATTTTGAAATCTGTCATTTTGTACATTATATCATGCTTTTAAATAAATTCTCATTTTCTATCTTTTTTCCCCCTGCTTTCTCATAAATATTCTTGAAATTCAGCATGTTTCTAAACAACCTTGTACCCAGTATCATTCTCTACATTCAGCCCAAGCCATGCTCTGAATTAGACACCCTAATCAAAAGTTTGTTTATTTCCACGCCTGTTGTCTCTCCAAAAACCTTTCTTGTCTAATCTGAATTCACTAAATTGTTTTATATGTGCCAAGCGAAATTTCTTTAAAATTTTTTTTCATTGTATCTTGAGCATTCCCCCTAGTTAACATTTCCCTTAACCACCTTAGGCAGGCGATCCGGGCCACCTTTAGAAACACGGAGAGGGGCGCTCTCCTGACCACTCACTACATGGCAGAGGCTGAGGCCGTGTGTGACCGGGTGGCCATCATGGTGTCTGGAAGGCTGAGGTGGGTGCCCGTCCAAGCCCGCCCTTGGCCCCCCTGGTGCCCTGCACAAAGGACGTTTCCCTGCACATGGCTATCACTGTGAGGAGCTGGAGTGGCTGGCTGCTATCTCTCCTTTTTCTTGCTTGACTTCATTCTCCTCCCACCTCCAGATGTATTGGTTCCATCCAACACCTGAAAAGCAAATTTGGCAAGGATTACCTGCTGGAGATGAAGGTGCAGACCCCCACACAGGTGGAGCCCCTCCACAGTGAAATTCTGAGGCTTTTCCCCCAGGCTGCTCGGCAGGAAAGGTAAACACAGGTGTTTAGTTTCATCTTGGTCTTTGTTTTGTTTTTCTATTATGGCAATGAGAAACAAAAGCTTTAGCTTCTCATTCTTTTTGTTTGTTTCAGCTCTGTGGTAATTGTGAGTACTTTAATTACTAGAGAAAGGCTCAATTCTGAGAAATACCCTAGGAGGGAAATAAAAGAACAAAGTACCGATCTGGAAGCTGATTCTTGAAAGGGAATTACATTCCGGGGGCTCTAGATGTGCCCGGCACTAATGTGTGCGTGTACCTAGGTCATCTCAGTGGTCCATTCTAGAGGGTAAACCTGTCTCCATTATATGAGATCATCTGCATAAAGCCTGTCTGTGCCCAGTACCAGGCATCAGTCCCAGCTCAATGAACAGTGTCTCTTATCATTTACTGAGAATTTATCATTCTCAGTAAAGGCACTTGAGGCTCAGGTAGGTCAGATAACGCCAAATAACTAGTAGTGGAGCCAGGAGGTGAACCTAGTTCCTTTTACTTAAATAATCTTCTCTTCTCACTAAGGAAGAGGGATGGTAAGTAATTTTGCTTCATCCCTTCCTGAGCTGTAGGTGCTGTCAGTTTCCTCCCCTTTGTCTCCCATCCACCAATGGAGCCTTTTCTTAAGAGCCTTCTAATGGCTCTGCTTTAGTAAATTGACTTCTTGTTGATCAAAGAGCATTCCCACCATAGCTATCTCCAATGCTATACAGATGCATACACTTAAATGAATTATTGACGAGATTGTTGCTCCTTTTCAGACTTGCATCCATCAGTGGTCATGCTCTGGAAACCTGGAGTTCAGCCTCACTCTCTTTTCCTCGCAGGTACTCCTCCCTGATGGTCTATAAGTTGCCTGTTGAGGATGTGCAACCTTTATCACAGGCTTTCTTCAAATTGGAGTTAGGTAAGAGTGACTGTGTAGAGATAAGACTCTGGGAAACAGATAAATTCAAATCTTGCGCAAAACCATTGTAATAACTACATGGACAAAGAATTGATATTATACTATAAATAGATTATTAAGACATTTAATCTAGTGGTTCTCAGTCAGGGGTGATTTGGCAATGTCTGCAGATGTTTTTTGGTTGTCATGATGGGGGTGGGTTGTGGAGAGTGGGGTGCAACCGTTAGCCAGTGGGTCGAGGCCAGGGAGGATGCTAAACATCCTAAATTGCACAGGTCCACCCTCTCCCAGAATAAAGAATGATCAGACCAAAAGGTCATTAGTGCCAAGGTTGAGAAACCCCTCCCTGATAGAATGAGGCTCTAGAAGGAAGAGACCATTGGCTTTTGGTCTGGAGTATCCACAAATTCATACAAACAGAAAGATATACATTTGTTTTTGTCTCTCTGTACTCTTTGATAGCATTAGATGCTTGGAGGTTCCTTTCTGTTGAGGTGGGCTAAGCCGTAACTCTTTTCTAGACTCTTGAATTTTGATCTTTGCATAATCGCTTGATCTATCATGGACTGTTTTGCCTGTCAGACCAGTGTATGAAATGTAATTGAGACAAGGTTAGGATCACTCCAGATAAGTTTTCTTTTCACTTTCTCATTCTGCTGGTCACCTTCGCTCTGTGGTCTATGGGACCATGTCCCACACTGACCATTTTGGCTTAGTGACCAATTTTGCATCATTCCAGTGGAAAGGATTCCTGCAATGGCTGTGATCAACACGAAGGCTTTTATAACTAAGTAGGAGCAGAGAGAAAGATGTTCCAGGAAGGCTACCTCCCTGGAATACTGTGTAGGCTTTTCTTAAAAGCCTTCAAATATTTCTGCTTTCAAAAATGTTCCCTCCCACCTCAAATTCCTTCTGCTGTGCTTAATTCATTAAAACTGAAGTTTTCATTTAGGAGGAAAAAAATAACTTTTTATCATAGTTTCTTGCCCCGTTATGTGAAGATTACACGAAGCACAAAATATTGAAATGTAGGCTGCATTTTTTTCTCCAAACCTTAAGTAGACACAGTTACATTCTCAGCTGGGATACATTTATTGAATGAGCTAGGCCCAGTCACAGTAGAAGCAAAGTGCAGGGCCCCATGACTATTACTTTGTCTTGCTACGTACACTCATTCTTCTATACCATCAGATCACTTTTGGGTAATGCAAAGCCCAGCAAAACTCAAGCCTCACATATCCCCTCCAGGTCAGATTTACTTCAGATTTGAAAAACTTGAAGCTAGGAAGGTAGGATGGTCAGTTTTATCTCTCTTCTTATCCTATTCCCTCCTCTACTCAAAAGCTGATGTTTTGGGCCTCTCCAGGGTGGAGTGGAAGGGGAGGGGAGAAGAGATAAAATGGCAACAGAGCTTGATTCCATCATAGAGCTGTACTGTGGCATCAGGGCCTGTAGAGATGGACAGTTGCTGGTCTTCCTTTCATGGAGTGCTTTTGTGAATTCCTTGAAGACTCCCTCTCCCATCCCATCTGTAGCCTCTGGTTACATCTTCCACCATGTGGGGGGTGATGCCTCCTCCTCTTGGCCTCTTGTGAATACCTTGCAGCCCCTGGGCCCCTTCTCAGAGTCCATTTACCCTGCCAGGAGATCCTCTTGGGGCACATCCCCCTTCGAAGTCCATGAGAAACATGCAGATTCTTTGCTTCTCCAACCCTGAAAGTGCAGGGCCATCAGCCATCTACTGCATTTTTTTTCTTTATATGTTTCTAGACATGAGTCAAGGACTCATTCCCATGTCCCCAAATTGCAGGCCAATGCCACCACGTCCTCTGTCCATGGAGAGGAGAAAGGAAATGCCGCAGTAATCTGATAACTGTCCAAAAGAAACCTTTGCTTTCCAGTCTCACCTTTCCATTCATTATTTTCCTCCTCTTATGTATCTGCACCTTTGGGGTCTCAGTCACAGTCCATATTGGCGACAGATGGTAAACTGAAAATAGGATAATTCAAGGAATTTTGGTTTATAAAATGACTCTTCACAAAGGTGCAAGGAACAGTGCAGTTACCTGAGGCTAGAAACAGAAGACATGTTACCATTCTTAGGTCCAAAGGGACTAAGAGAAGAAGCAGTGATTGGAACCTGGAAGTAGAGTCATGTAGAATTTGCCACCTTGAGAGAAGTAGTGACCTTGAATCAAGGGACACACTTCGTATCAGGGAGGAAGTGAACGAAAAAAGGCCTTCATCTTTCCTGTCCTCTGTCCCTCCCCCTGGGCTTTCCACTGGTGGAACCCACCAGGAGGAGCTTCTTAAGTCAGCCTCTGGAGCAAAGAGCAGGATGGAGAAAAATGGCAGATATAGAGAGGCACATGGTGGTTGTCCAGCACCGAGGGAACCATTTCTTAGCTTATTCTGCGTGGGTGGTCTGGAACCTCTTATACTATTTTGCAGTTTTGTGGTGCCTCTGCCCAAACTTGAAGAGGGTGGGAGAGTATTTCCACCATAGTACAGAACTATATGGTGAAATTGCTTTCTCATATTTAGTCCAAGAATATTTACTACCTTATATTTTATATTTAAGATCTATTTGGATGTACTTTTTGTATATGACTTGTTAAAACTCTCTGAATGAAAAAATGTATGAACTCCTAATACATATTTACCCTTACACAGTTAAACAGAGCTTTAACCTGGAGGAGTACAGCCTCTCACAGTCCACCCTGGAGCAGGTGGGTCAGTTTTAGTGATTTTATATCACCCTTGGAAGATAAATGCTTTGTGCATATGCTTTGCACTCACTTGGAGCTATAGGAAGCAGTGTGACATCCTTTCTCTTTATTTCTTGCCTCCCATTACAGGTTTTCTTGGAGCTCTCCAAGGAACAGGAGCTGGAGGACTTTGTTGAGGAAGTTGATCTCTCAGTGAAGTGGAAGCTCCTCCCACAGGAAGAACCTTGAAGCCCCAAATACTCTATGTCTCTCTTTAAGCTTGTGACTAATTTTTAAGATAATATTTTATAGCATTTATATACTTCATCTCAGATATGGTACACAATTCTTTTGAAACTCATGGCATCATTTTTCTCAGTAATATTACTTGTAGAGGTGTTAACAGGACCAACGTGGGTCTGCTCGTTGGTGAGTTGAAATCAAAATCTTTGTCAGAAGTAGTTGTCACACAAAGTAAAATTTTATTTGCAGCATGCAGCAAATAAAGGAGACCACAGGGAGTAATTTCACAAAGCTGTGGCTTCCCAAGCAAAGGGAAAGCAGTGCCTTTATTTGGGGTAGGGAATGAATATTCAAAAGGGATGTTTTGTCATCACATGTGGAGGTGGGTACAAGCCTGCTCATGCTTATAAAACATGCTTCACATGCATCACATGTTATGCTACCTTGGCTTAAGCTCCTCTTGGGGCAGTGATCTTAGCATTATAATGAGGCAAAATTCACTTTTGTACATTTCTCCACCAATCACTATACCCTGGGACTACAGTCATCTTGGGAAGATCTGCAGGAGCACCAGCAAATGTGGAGGTGGTAGTGCTGCCTGAGATGTGTAGCAGTTTTTTAAAGGAGGAGGCAGGAGGGATATTGTTACTTCATTACAGAAATAAAAATGACTACGGTCATGCATCGCTTAACAAGGGGGATACATTCTAAAAGATGTGTCTTAGGCCATTTTGGTGTTTATGAACATTATAGAGTGTACTTACACAAACCTAGATGTTATAGCCTCCTGCACACCTAGGCTATATGGTACTAATCTTACGGGACCACCATTGAATATGCACCATTGAATATGCATTTGGTTGACCAAAATGTTGTTATGTGGCACATGACTGTATAAGGGAATACTATGAGCAACTGTATGCCTACAAATCAAGTAACTTAGATGAAATGGAAAAATTCATGGAAAGTCACAAACTGGAAAACTGACTGAAGAAGAAATAGGAAATTGGAATAGATCTGTAAAAGAAAACAAATTGAAATAGTAATTTAAAAACTACCTTAAAGAAAAAACTCAGACCCAAAGAACTTCACTCATAAATACCACCATATATTTAAATAAGAATTAACACCAATTATTCTATACTAATTCTTCAATTAATACAAACTCTTCCACAAAAAGAAGTACAGGGAATATTTCTCACCTCATTCTGTGAGACCAATATTACCCTGATACCAAAACCAAAGACATCACAAGAAAACTGCAACCAATATCTCCCATAAGTACAGATGCAAAAATCCTCAGCAAAATACAGTCAAACATAATCCAGCAACAAATGAAAACCTGCTCCATGGCTAAGTGGGATCTAACCCAGGAATGCAAGCTTGGTTTAATATCGAAAAATCAAGCAATGTAATACATAGTATCCATAGAATAAAAAATAAAAACCACACTATCGTCTCAATTGACACAGAAAAAACATTTTACAAAACCCAACAACCTTTCATGATAAAAATGCTCAACAGACTGGAAATAGAAGAGAACTTCCTCAACCTGATAAACAGTGTCTATGAAAAATCCATAGCTAACATCATACTTATGATGAAAGACTGAATGTTTTCCCCAAAGATCAGGAAAAAGATAAATACGTCTGCTCTTACCACTCCTATTCAACGTTGTTCTGGAGATTCTAGCCAGGGTGATTAGACAAGGAAAGGAAATAAAAGGCATCCAGATTAAAAAGGATCTAAATAAAAATTTCCCCAAAGAAGTTGTACAAATGGCCAACAAGCACATGATAAGATGTTCAATGTTATTGACCAATAGGAAAATGCAAATCAAAACCACAATGTCATACAACTTCATGCCTACTAGGATGGCTCTAATCAAAGACAGATAATAACAAGTACTGGTGAGAACGTGGAGAAATTGAAATACTCGTACATTGCTGGTGGGAATGTAAAATGGTGCAGCCACTTTGGTAAACATTTAAGCGGGTCCTTAGAATGTTAAATATAGAGTTACCATATGACTCAGCAATCCCAATCCTAGGTATATACATAAAAGAAATGAAAACATATGTCCACATGAAAACTTGCACACAAATGTTCGTAATAGCCAGAAAGTGGAAACAATGCAAATGTCCATCAACTGATGAATGGATAAATTAAATGTAGTGCATCCAGACAATGCAATATTGTTCAGCCATAGAAAGGAATGAAGTATACGTACATGCTGTAACACAGACGAACTTTGAAGACAGTATGCTAAATGAACAAAGCCAGTCACAAAAGGCCACATAGTGTATAATTCCATTTTATATGAAATCTTTAGAGACAGAAAGCAAATTAGTGTGTGCCTAGGGCTGGGGGGTAGGAAGTAACTGTTAATGGGTTCTGAGCTTCTAGTTGGAGTGATGAAAATGTTCTAAAATTAGATTGTGGTTACTAGTGTACAACTCTTTGGATATACTAAATACTATTTAATTGTACAATTTTTATGAGTGAATTGTATGGTATGCGAATTTTATCTCAATAAAACTGCTTAAAAAACAACAACAGAGAAGGAGGCAGTTGAGGGAACTTGAGAAGCTACCTGAGTTTTGCATCCAGCAAATGGTTTGTCATCAGCAAAATCTCATATCTTTAATTTCTTCCTGTTTCAATTGAAAATTGGCACTTCACTGAAGACACTGCTTCTCCTGCAGTCCTCTCCAATAGTAAATTTTTTTTTCACCTATCCTCTCGGATATGACAGGGTTAAAAAATGAGGTAGGTACTCTCTTTTTTTCCCATCATGTCACTTCTAAGCAATTTTCTTCTCTCTTTTCTCAAAAACACAAATCCCTTTAAAGTTTATCATTAATGTCAGTCACTTAATTCTTAAATCATCTACCAATTTCTTTATTACTCTTCTTCATTCTTTAAATATATATGTATATTTTTTTTTGGTGAGGAAGATTGGCCCTGAGCTAACATCTGCTGCCAATCTTCCTCTTTTTGCTTGAGGGAGATTGTTCCTGAGCTAACATCTCTGCCAATATTCCTCTATTTTGTATGTGGGACGCCACCCCTGCATGGCTTGATAAGCTCACACCTGGGATCTGAACCTGCGAACCCTGGCCACCAAAGTGGAGCATGCAAACTTAACCACTATGCCACTGGGCCAGCCCTGATTCTTTAAATATTTTTGACATTTGAATCACAGTATTTCTTTCACCACTACCCCTGACATCATTCTTGGGTACTCATCGTCTACACAGATCATCCATACAATACGCTGGTCTCTCATTTTCTTGGCCTTCTCATTTCCAAAGATCTCTTCCTTTGTTTCATTTCTGTCATTGTCCCTCCCTCCACCAAAGTATTATTTAGCGCAAAATGCCAATAGTATTGAGGCTAAGAAACCTTGAGAGATGCTATATAAAAAATAAACAAAGTAATATGATCAGGTAACAGAGAAGGTGAAGGAAAGATTAGAGGTTATTCAGAAAAGACTTCTTTGGCAGATGACAATTAAACTGAGGATTCAGTGACAAGAAGAAGGCAGTGCTGCTGAAAACATGGGAGAGATGGACAGGCCAAGAGAAGAGCACATACAATGGCCCCAGGTTAGAAACAGGTTTGCATGTTTAGAGATGTTGTTGGAGCAATTCAGAGGGACCTGGTAAATTGGGAAGTTGACATGGGTTTTAAACTAAGTGCAGTGGGAAGTCTTGGAGGGTGCTAAGAGGGAGAGTTACATTATGAGATACACATTTTAAAAAAGAAACATTTGCCTCTGAGTGGAGAATAGATCATATGGTCTCAACAGTGGGTGCAGGGGAATTCATTAGGAGGCTATTGCAATAATACTAATTGAGAAGTGATAGGGGCTTAGAGTAGGGTAGTGGCAATGGACATGGAGACAGTGAATAGATTGCAATATACTTTGGAGCTAAAATTGATAGATAAGATGTGCTGATGGATTGGTTGTGAGGGGGCATGATGGGAGAGGGAGGGAAGGATAGTCAAGGAGATTTCCTATACATATTTTATGTTGAGCAAGGGGAAGGAGTTGCTACTTCCTGAGATACAGAAAATAGGGAAGGAAGATGTGATATAGGAAGTGGAGAAGAATGAAGAATTTGCTTTTAAAATGTTAAAAACCTGATTAGATAACCTGAGTCAACACGTCCAGAAAATCCAGAACCCCTGAGTAAAGATGAAAGACTTTTCTCTGACTAAACTCTTTAATTTTTTCATGTTTAGAGGTAGTGTTTGATATTTTGAAATTAGCCACTTTCCTCTGAGGCATAGAAGAGAACATTTACAAATATTAGATTCTCTCTGTGAGATACCTCTTAATATGATACAGCCAGCCAATCGAGTAGAGCTGACACTTCTCTGCCACAGGAATTGGACGGACGTCAATAAAAAAGCAATTTATCTGAGAGTGATCACACGAATTCAGTGTTCTGAGGCCAAGAGAAATGCCATGACAATCTCCTCCCAGAAAGCAGTATTAAGGGGAATTTTCAAAACAGTTCGACCGTAACTCAGAGATGTAGAGACCAGGAAGAAGTGTGAATAGCTTTTCCTGAAAACAATGAGATCCAGGGATAAGCTGAGTTTCTAGATTACTTTCCCAAAAGGTAAGTTCAGGTTTTTTTTTTTTTTTTTCTGTTTTGTTTGTATCATGCAATTACAAATAAGATTCCCATATACTAAATGCCAGACATCTCTGGAGAAATTATTTTTAAAAGTAATGAATTTAATGTTTATGAATTGCTGCTGATTTATACTCTGCAGAAAATAAGGGTTGGCTTAATGATTTTAAAAATTTTGCAACTATTTTATCAAGACAAAAAACGAGTGTGTGAACAAGCTAGAAATTTGCTAATGGATTGATCATGAGGAACTTAAGTAAATCTTGTGAATGCATTTACAAGTCTGAGTTGCAAAACCAAATACATATATATGCATATATGAGTATGTATACACTTCTACTGCATAACAATTTGCAGGTATTTTGGATACACTTTCTCTAA